TGGTACCGGGGAAGATTACAGAACAGTTTGTCTTGAGAGCGCTCACATGGCAAGTCCAGTCAGCATGGGTTTACGAAAGGCAGGTCCTGCTTGACCAACCTGATCTCCTTCTATGACCAGGTGACCCACCTAGTGGATGAGGGAAAGGCTGTGGATGTTATCCACCTTGACTTCAGCAAGGCCTTTGACACTGTCTCTCATGGCATACTCCTTGAGAAGCTGGCATCTCATGGCTTGGACAAGTGTACTCTTCGCTGGGTGAAAAACTGGCTGGATGGACGAGCCCAGAGGGTTGTGGTGATTGGGGTGAAATCCAGTTGGCAGTGCATCACTAGTGGTGTTCCCCAGGGCTCGGTGTTGGGCCCCGTTCTGTTTAATATCTTTATCAATGATTTGGATGAGGGGATTGAGTGCACCCTCAGCAAGTCTGCAGATGACACCAAATTGGGAGGCAGGGTCGATCTGCTTGAGGGTAGGAAGGCTCTATAGAGGACAGGCTGGATCAATGGGCTGAGGCCAACTGTATGAGGTTCAACAAGGCCAAGTGCCGGGTCCTGCACTTGGGTCACAGTAACCCCATGCAGCGCTACAGGCTTGGGGAAGAGCGGCTGGAAAGCTGCCCGGCAGAGAAAGACCTGGGGGTGCTGGTTGACAGCTGGCTGAATACGAGCCAGCAGTGTGCCCAGGTGGCCAAGAAGGCCAATGGCATCCTGGCCTGTACCAGAAATAGTGTGGCCAGCAGGAGCAGGGAGGTGATTGTCCCCCTGTACTCAGCACTGGTGAGGCTGCTCCTCGAGTACTGCGTTCAGTTTTGGGGCCCTCACTACAGGAAAGACGTTGAGTTGCTGGAACCTGTCCAGAGAAGGGCAACCAAGTTGGTGAGGGGCCTGGAGCATAAGTCTTATGAGGAGCAGCCGAGGGAACTGGGTCAGTTTAGTCTGGAGAAGAGGAGGCTGAGGGGAGACCTTATCGCTCTCTACATCTACCTGAAGGGGGGTTGTAGTGAGGTGGGTGCTGGTCTCTTCTGTCAGGTGGCTGGAGATAGGACGAGAGGAAATGGCCTCAAGTTGCAGCAAGGGAGATTTAGATTGGATATTAGGAAAAATTTCTTTACTGAGAGGGTTGTCAGACATTGGAATAGGCTGCCCAGGGAAGCGGTTGAGTCGCCATCCCTGGAGGTATTCAAAGAGCACGTAGACAAGGCACTCGAGAACGTGGTTTAGTGGGCATGGATGATGGTTGAACTCGATGATCTTGAAGGTCTTCTCTGACCTAAATGATTCTATGATTCTATAACAAGAGAAGCCATCCTGGAGGCCAAATATGACCACACCAGTTTACTGTCTATCTCACCTCTTCCTTGTCCATGACTAGTTAAATACCTTTACAGTTGTCCATGCCTTCTCAGCTGTCAGCTGCTGCTTCTCTTCATCTACTCCCCTTTTCTTGCTATTCTTGATAAAAGTCACATGAGGCTAAGTTCTAGGTTGCTCAGGTGTTGCCTCTGCCTTATTTTTGATGCATCTGCCTATTTACTTGGCCTTAAACTGATTGCTTATCTGACTCAGTCTGTGTTTCCTCAGAACTCCTTATGGATGTCTTACTGCTTCATTTAAGTTTAATGCATTCTTTTAAATTCTTTGGGTACCTTTGCAGAGCTCCTCAGTTCTCTAGTGTAAAGCTATCACTTAATCCTAGCTCTTTCAGTAGGCCTAGGTATAGTGTTTAGTGTAAGATAATACAGAGAATGGTTTATGATAGGCGTTAGAGGTGGAATAAGATAAGCTGTTGGGGCAACAAATTAGGAAGATGACCTGGGTGCCAAATAGCCAACAAATGCAATTGTAACTTTATTTAGATTACACAAACTTGAATGATCATATCTGAAGTCCTTATATAGATCAAGATATTTGATATCAAGATAATAAAAATGAGGTTTGGCTCTCCTGTCCCTTTAAATCCTGGTCCTGTAGATTCCCAGATTTTTCTTGAAATGTAACTGCTGAAGTTAGGGCAATCTTACCTAATTTATTTCATCAGCAATTGCCCTGTGCACATTTCTTTTGAATTACTTGACTTCTACCTACTTTTATATTTGTTTTAATTTTCATTCTGTAATCCCATAATTACAGTTTCCATATGTTTCATATCACTGCAGCATATGGATTTGCAATGTTAATTCTGTACTGAAGTTCTTTTAATTTACTTATTGCATTGAATGATTAAAGTGAAATTTTGTTCCTTTTAGCATGAAAATTCAGTCCCTTTGGGGTGGTTTCCTTAGCTGTAGCCTCTTCTCAGTTAATCTCTGGTGGTCCAAATGGTGTTCTTTCAATCAGGTTTTCACTGCCCATGTCTGTCACTCAGTGCCATAACTTGCAGACTCTTCCCTTTTTCTGTGTGCTGCACAGGCTGTTTCTAGATCTAGCCCACTACATGAATATTTCTCCACTCCAAGTACTACAAAGTGGAACTGTGGATCATATCACACTTGCCACTTTCAGGAATGGCATGTGTACATTACGTTGCGTACAGTTAAAGTTTCCAGAGTTTGAATTGGGTGGCTCAGTGTATAAATCAACAAACACATTTGTCTTTTTCAGTTTTCAGATATAAGTACTTTGGGCAAGTTGATACTTACATTTCTATTGACATCAGGGTCAAATTCTAATCAACCGCTCTAAGTAAAAGGGCAGATGCTCACAAAGTGAAATAACATACTTTGGGATCACGAAGATTTGTCTGTCAAACTGGTCTCTTGAAGAGGAAACAGAACTTCTCCATACTTGAAAACAAGCAGATGAGTGGGTGAACGAGGGAAACTGGCACTTCTTCAAACAGTGCTTCTGCACACATTTGTGGCTTTGCCAGAGATTGTTTGATACTGGGCTACATCAGTGGCAGCAGTCACCGAGCAGTACTTTGGTGCCTTTTGTCATCGCTGACAGGAGTGGGAATTACTTGTGTGAGGCTCCTGGATGCTGTGTGATGGGGTAGTCCTGAAGCACACAGGACACCTGTAACTTCCACCTGGGTCTGCCAGTGGCAAATGGTTTGGGAAGTGGTTCTCCTTCTAGAACTGCTATGGAAATGGGGAAAGAGAAGCATTGACAAGTCTTGACTCTTGAATCATGTTGAGAAAGGGCAATCTGATGAGCAGTTACCTGGTAAAAGTTGGTGAGATTCCCAGCCAGGCCTTGTTCCAAATGAAGTCAGTGAGAATTTGCCCCTAACTCTGAAGTTACCTTTTCCTGCTTTACAACTTCTGTGTGCTTTCTTACACATGTTTAGTGTATCAGGCTGCAATAGAAATGAAATGCCAGCAGCTTAAGGAATTCTGTAATAGCAAACTATAGTATGTTTACGGTGGAGAGAAGAAGTTTAAATGTGGTATTACATTTCTGTCGCTAGCTTTCAAGGACTTTGCACTGGAGCTCCTTAGCTGTGTTGCAAGACAAGGGAAAAACATGTCATGCAAATCCTCTGCCACAGACCTGAAAAACAGCTGAAGTTTCTTGACAGGTGCATAGAGGTTGGCTCCTGTTTCAGACACGCCTGGTCTGGGTGTCCCATCAACCCTCTGAGTTCTGAAGGAAAGTTTTATTTAATTTGAAATCAAAGGAAAGTTGGTGGATTGGGCTGATTTCTCCTGGAGTTCTCAAGCTTGTTCAAACTCACAGGCTCACAAGTCAATGGGAATTAAAATCCTGCCCTGAAGGCCTTGAATGGCAACTTTGCTTAGAAATGAAATTGCCAGGCTTCACCGTTATGCTTCTAAACCAATTCACTAGTGTTTAAAAGGAGGCTTGACTGAGCTCATGATAAGACATTGATGCTGGCTTTTTTAGCATTAACCTTACAGCCTTAAAATACAGTGGACTTGGTACTGCAGCAACTGAGGGAATTACTGAGAAGAGGAAAATTAGAACTGTCAGCAGTTAGAGGTCTGGTTTCTGGGTACAGAAGGAAACTGCACTGGTGGGAAAAAAAAAAAAAAATCCAGCTGGTTTTTGGGATAGAGATGCTGTAGAGGATATTGGCCCTTTGTTAAGGAGACCACTTGGAGATTTGAGAGTGCTTTAGTGGTTACAGGTAGATTAGAAACAGGAGAGGGAGCTCTCACTGCGTTACCCAAAGAGGAGGGAAATTCTGGACTTGGTAGCAAACCTTTAAATGAAGAGTACTGCACTCCTGCTGCTCCCTGTCATTAAAATGTGGGTGGTTGTTCTTCATATAGGCAAGACCAACAGAGGATATGCATGTCTGGAAAAAGAAAGGCAGTCCACGTCCTGTTCCTATCTCTCCTGCTATTGCTACCTTATTTTTTTCGTTCCCGGGATAGTGTAGTTGTGTTACTGCCAAAGCAAGTTGTATTGTAGCTCTACCATAGCAGATGTAGTTCCTTTCCCCCCATCCTTACCATCAACTTCAAATACCAGTGTCCTGTTCCCCAGCTACTGTGAGCATTCTCTGAGATGTCAGCTTTAGAGAGGAGGGATAGATAGTGAAAATATATGCAGGACATTACTTTTATGGTTGAAGCAAAAACTGGTGCAGGTGAGAATGAAGAATTCATTTCCAGTGCAAGTAGGATGAACAAGATTGAGAGATTTGTAAAACAGTGTTATTTAACTGGTATTCTAAAGGCTGGTTGCAACTAGGAAACATATCAACATTAAGAAGTTGAGGTACACGGCAAGGAACAGAGAAGTTGGGGGATTTAGTAAGCTGGAGATGTCTCTAAAACAGAAACCCACTTCCTCTTGTAACCATTTACACTTAAATGTCTCTCAAACTGTAATTTTTGGATGACTTTCTGAGTGAAGTGAAATGCAATTCTCCTTCCCTATTTATGGATGGGGAGTAGAGACACAGAAAGAGTAGGGCCTGTGGGGGAGAGGAGGGGTTGTTTTAACACAGACAGATGTAAGCAGACATGTAAGTGGTAGGATGCAGGCTAGCTCGGGCTCAGAAGCTGTGTAGTGGCGTCATCTCTCTAGGCTGTGTCCCAGAGGATGTGCCCTGCTCTTGGTGTATCCGCTCAGGCAAAGTGCTGTTAAGATGCTTTTTTGGCTTCCAATCCAGAACTTGCTTGCATCTGGGATGAGCTGATGGATCTCTCATCTGAGTGCACCCATGTCTTGGTACACAAGTTACTTTTTCAAGTTCACAGGGTGAAAAGGGAATAAATTCAGTTCTCTTTTAACCTGCATAAGTGCTGGTTCAACTGATTAGCATCTGTCGTCTTTATTTGAATGTGCATGGTGTTGGCCTTTCTGTGCATGTTATTGTTAATCTTGCTGCATCTGTGATGTTAACTTGGATAATATCAAAGTAATTTTAGGGAAGTGCTTTGGGTTTTGCTTGGCTTTTGTTTGTTTTGAGTAGGAAAGATGCTAGCCCTCTTCTGCTTGAATTACTAATCTAAGCTAACTGAGTGGTTTTATTGTGGGCTCTTAAAACATTGGTGAATTTTTTTCCAAAGGGATTTGTGTAAAAGGAACTTACTGTGAGAGACTATTGCTCATATTCTGTATAACATTAAAAAAAAAAATCTTTGCTTTCAGAGTTTATGTTGGTATCTCTACGCTCACAGTATATTTGGCTGGGCTTTTCCTCCTTAAATTTATTGGATCAAAGCAATAATATACATCTAAGTTTTTAGTTATCAACTTCTCTCCAAGTTTTGTAATTTTCTGGAATTAAATAAGGAATCTGGGAATAATACGTGATCATAGATACAGTACGTAACATGCAGGCTTATTTCCAGAATGTCACTGAAGGGTTATATTAAATCCTTTTGTTTTGCTGTTGTATGATTACAAAGATTCTTTTGTAGCTTGGGACATTTAGTCTAAAAGCAAGAAATGTGAGAGGTATGTGGCAAGAGAAGGTAATGTGAATTTAATTCTAGCATTGCTGTTGTTCTTAACTATGTTCTGACTGGCAAGAAAAGTCTTGGTCATGTCTGTATGACACTGAATACCTATCAGGAGGAGCAGCAGTCCAGGGTCAGAGTGCTTTAAATGCTCTCAGGTCTCAGGAGAGACTAGATGTGTTGCAGTTACTGGGGAGGAGAAAACATAACTGCATTGAGACCAACACTTTTTTTTTTTTTTTCTTTCTTTCTTTTCGGCTAAACTAAGTTCCGTTTAGGATGGTCTTTAAAACTTTAACATTAATGAAGAGTGACAAGCAAATGACAAGAAAGTAGCGTCTACATAAGAAGAAAAAACCCAAAAGATTAGTTTTGTGTGTATGATACTCCTTTCCCAAATAGTTGGAGAGCTTTAGCCGGCATTCATGTATTAGTCATTTCAGCTATTCAGGAATGAATTGTGTATTATCAGTACAAATTTTATTTTATTTTAGATAGGGGTCACTGCAGGATTGGGCTGAGATTTCAAGTCACTGGAAGAAACTACTTTGAGTAGCCACACACCTGATCTGCTTTTGAAGGCACGACTGTGCTACCTGTACAGACACAAGTATCCAGTAATTTCTGGGCCTGTTAAATCCCTGTTTTATACCACAGAGTTCATAATATTTTGCAGGATGTACAGACTATACTGATAATGAAATACTTGCAGTATATGAATATATATTATGTATAGTTGTATTGTTGCAGTTGTATTGTAGCTGTTTTAGTTATGCTGACTGAAAGATGACAGACTTGTCATGATTTTGTCTTCAAAGAAAGACTTACTAATTTTCCAAAAACTTTTTCCTGGTCACTCAATCCATGCAGAGGCCAGGCATACTTAATTCTAAAAAGTTATCTTATGCAGATTTGGGAATAATACTGCTGTTCTTGGTTCCACACAGATGGTACCAGACAAGAAGAAGTGGAAGGTGAACTCAGTGAAGAAGAACGCTGGTTTGGAAATTCTTCGGAAACTCCTTCAGAAGCATCATATGGAGAAGTCCAGGAGAACTTTAAGTTGTCTCTTGAGGACAGAATCCAAGAGCAGTCCACTTCCCCAGACACTTCTTTGGGAAGTGCAACTCCTAGCAGCAACACAGCAGAGCTGGGATCCATTGAAACTGAGGCACTAAGAGACACATTACAGAGCAAAGAGCACGTTTCTCCTGATGTGTCATCTCTGTGTGAAGAAGAACCTCCTGGTCCAAATAAGCCACTGAGTAGTAACCTGAGGCGGCTACTGGAGGCTGGCTCCCTCAAGCTGGATGCTGCTGTTACAGTCAATGGCAGAGTCGAGTCCCCTGTAAATCTTGGCTCAAATCTCTCCTTCTCTCCACCTGCTCATCATGCCCAGCAGCTAAGTGTTCTTGCCAGAAAGCTTGCCGAGAAACAGGATCAAAGTGACCAATACAATGCAAGTAGTCACTTTATATGGAATCAAGGTAAGTGGTTGCCAAACTCAACCACCACCTGTGGTTTGTCCCCGGATTCAGCTATCCTGAAACTGAAAGCTGCAGCCAATGCCGTTCTGCAGGACAAATCTCTTTCAAGGACTGAAGACACTATAAGATTTGAATCCTTTTCCTCACCTTTTAGTTCTCAGTCAGCCAGCTCCACATTGGCAGCTTTATCTAAAAAAGTGAGTGAAAGAAGCATGACTCCTGGGCAGGAGCACCCGCCTCCAGCTAGTTCTTTCCTTTCTCTGGCTTCCATGACCTCTTCGGCTGCCCTTCTCAAGGAGGTTGCTGCAAGGGCTGCAGGCACCCTCTTGGCTGAGAAGAAGTCGTCACTGGTTGCTGAGGATCCCCTGCAGCTTTCAGACATGAAGCAAGAGAAAGCAACTCCACCACAGTCTTTGGAATTATTGTTACTACCAGTCCCTAAGGGAAGAGCGTCCAAACCCACTAGTACAGGTATGGATACAGTCTGAGCCACTAAGTGGAATGTGTTTGTTTTGCTATAGGCTTATATAACATCTCTTGAATGGGTCTGGATTTGGTTTGATTCCATGTATTATGAGAATAAGAAATAGGTACTTTAGGTAAACAATAGCAAAGCTTTTTGAAATACCACTTGAAGACCAAACTGTCACAGATGTTTCCATATTTGAAAGATAGGAGTGTACAGTTCAGTACTTTTTTTTAATTATTATTATTATTCCATACAATGGTATTTCCCTCTCTTACCAAGTTCAGAATAAGTCTACAAAAAATATTTAATGGAGAATATCAAAGAATCCCTGTTAGGGAGCTCACAGTATCAGTGAGCATGTACAAAACTAGTGCTTTTGAAATATTGGACAAGGGAGAATTCTCCCTCCTGCTGTCTCTGTCACAAATGGACTTTTGTATAATCGCTTACTACCCTGTCCTAATTTACCAGAGTATATTATTATGTTGCCACTTTTCATTAAAATTTTTTTGCAGCAGTTAGGTATTTTACAGTCCTTTGTCGTTTAAAAAAAAAAAAAAGTGAACTGCATTTCTCTAATTTGCTCAGCAAGAACAATTTTACACTTCTGATTTCCCTCCACCAGTTCCAGCTGTTGGCAGTCAAGGAATCAGGCTTATAGGGAATAAGAAAAACAGTCTTGGTACCAAAAGCTTTCAAGAACTGGCAAGCTATACAGGGAAATTTAAATGATCCATCTTCAAAATAAGGAAAAATAAGGTTTCTTTCATCTCTTTCTATAAAAAGTTCACATCATGGATTCATATTTCTGGTAGAACGTACATCTTCAGGTGTCGTCAGTGTTCTCCCTGGAGTAGTATTCTGCTGCAGAGGGGGAAGCAGCATGTCAGCTATCTTCACAAGATGCACAAAGTGGTTCAGTATATTAGAGCTTTATCAGGCTGAGTTTTATCAGGAATACTAGCTTGATTGTACAGGTGTAGCAAGCCAGTGTACAGACATGAAGCCTGACACGGACGTTGTATAATTGCACTGTCTTCTTTCTGACCTAACCTTTTTGTTTAGGGATATTATGTGGTCTGATCTGTCGCTGTGCAGCTCTTGGTAAAAACTCGCAGGGTAGGAGCTATTGGATGGAGAGCAATGCTTATTCCTCTCTGGAAGAGGAGGGGGAGGGACGTGATGTGGTGCAGCTGGTACCAGTTTTTTGCTCTGAGTTACGTGTGTGCTACAAATGCTTTGCTGGTGTGTTTTGCCAAGGCAATTAAAGTGGCAAACTATTCTTGGGATGGGTCTGGCCTAAGGTTTTCATTGGTTTAGATGAAGTCCTTTTTGGAGTAATATATGCTAAACCAAGAAGAGGTCCTTTTGTGTGGGAATAGGAGTACCGACACTGGCTACACCAGTGTGACTGTGGGCATTAATTTAATGTAACTTTCCCTGTGAAGACTGGCCTTCATGTGAGAAAGGCAGCAATGTATAGAAAAGGAGTAAGGTTAAAATTTATTTGAAGTTATTCGTTTACTTCCTGCTGGAGAAAAAGCTGTTCACATCATAAGTTTTTACTGGGGAAAAGTAAATGGTTGTAGTAAAATCCAGGTTCTGTGTTTGACCAACAAACTGTGGGATTTCTCTGTGCAGTTTATACTAGGGGAGTGCTCTGTACCAGCACACAAATGTGTATAGTACCACACACAGTACCAGTACCACAAGTGTGCTGGTAGTAGTGGCAATTTATAAACTAGCTCTGATGCAGCAAAATTCCTAGCAACTATTCTCTTTGCTGAAGGCTCAAGCATACTGTGCTGCTAAAAGATAACAATGGGGACTGACTGCCTCAGGTCCTTGGTAACCAAGGAACAACTATTCATTTTTTATAATATATGGGACTAGTATCCCAAGAGGAAGGGTGTTTCCTTTCAGTTCATACGCACTGGGCCAATGCCAGTTGGCATCCAAGCAAACTTCATGGTGTAATGTTCATAACAAAAGTTCTCTAAGTCCATTTTCTGATATGCTATTAAGTTTTTTTCCTTCTCTAAATAATTAACTGACTGAAAATAAAAAGCAAGCTGTTGGTTAGCATATCTGGATGTTGATTATGGAAAGCCAGACTCCTTGATTCCTTCAGCCATAGAGAAATGCAGCTTACAAAAAGAGGTCACTGTTTAGTGACCTTTGATTGAAGACTTCACTTCTGTAAAAGTTGAGAAGGGCAGCTGTGTGTATATTTGCCATGAAAATAAATGTCACACGTTCCTGATTCCTTTTGCACCTATGACCTTATGGCACTAAAAGCAAAAAATAGTATTTCATTTTATAATGTTTTATCTTTTTGTGTCTGTCTGATTGCTCCTCAAGACATGGGGTTTTTTGTCTTGTTCCCAGAGAGAGACATCTTTTCCCAGTAGACGTAGCTTGAGAGGTGTTTTTTTCCCCTCTCATACTTTGAACTTTTAAGGCACTGGTGAGTTTGCTTTGTTGTTACGAATCTGATTCACTTGCCCACCAGCAACATGTAGCTTTGATTATGAGATCAATACTCAGTGAGATTAATTAGATGTCAACAAGTAAGAAACAGCAAAGATAGAGGCTATTTAAAGAGGAATAAGTTAATAACAAGAGTATGCCTGCTGCTCTTTTGTCCACCATGTTGAGCTATTTGCTCAGAATTATTTCGGGCAAGAAGCTGGAGCTATGGCTTATCAGAGTGTAGTCGCCTCTGAAACTGCATGTCAGGCTTGGTGGACCTAATCATTACTTGCATAGATTATAGTAAAGTGGTACAGAGAAGACTAAATTTTCTATCCATCTGTTAATATTGCCAATTTTATAAAATGCTCACGTGTTTGGGATGAAATCTAAAAGGAAGCCTGGAATCTCTGTTAAAGTTCTGATGTTGTTTTTGAAAGAGTGGGTGGCAGACCCTTCTTCTACCGACTGAATGCTTGTTTGATGTAACTTTTTGCCTGTGATGCTTGCAGTTTTGTTCCTGAAGCTTCTTTGGAAAGCACTGGCTAATACTCTCCTCACTGGAGTTGCTCTTTCCAGCTAATTGACACCGTTTGACATAAAATAGACGTCAGTATAAATGAAGGAAAGCTGAAGCCCACAACTTTCTTTCTCATGCTGAGGTTTACGTCGTATAGTGAAGAGCTAACATGGTTCAGCTTTGAAGAGCATCGACATCATTCCTGTGTACCATTAATTGTCATTGTTATTGGGGAAGTCATATGCATGCAGTACAGTTCTTTGCATATTTTGTAATGTGCTAAATTACTGTTCATCCATCTTGTTTGCAAATTTATTTTTTAATGGGGTGGAAAACAGGTAATAGCTTGTTACACGTTTCTTTTCTGGATCCTTTGTGATGATAACCAGAGGCTGGAGAAAAGATATGATAGAAGGAAAAGAAATGATAGGTAAAAATGCTACCAATGTATTTTTTTCTGTGGTCCATCTTTCTCCTGTGTTTGGTGAAGAAGTAAGTAAAGATACTTAAAAACTGAAACACAAGCAATGATAGCATTGGTTTTGGCTTATTCTTTAGCGGTGCAGAGAGGGGAACAATTAGATAGTAAGTTGAGTGTGATAGAATATTTCACGAGGAGAATTTCTGAACTTGCAGAAGTGCATGCTTTGACAATATGTCCTTTTTTGTACCTACATAATGACTACCTAATCAGTTGAATTACAGTATTTTTGTTTTCTACCTAATAGCAAGAATTACATTTTAGGATATGACAAATCTTTCTGGAGGTTTTTATCACTTAGTTCCTCATCAAGGGAATTTGATGTTTGCTATATCCTTATCAGTAGGAAATAACTGATAATAATGAGATTAAATATTCTGAGAGAATTTCTAAATAGCAGGATGCACATTGCTGAGCTCTGGATATTTGAAAATAGTCTTTCTTTTTACAGTGAGGAAACAGGCTTCCCATTCCATGGTAATACTAGGCCTTTCTTTATAATAGGCAGAGGAAATGGTGGTGAGAGGATGAATGGATGGTTAGTGGTGTAAAGTCAGCAGCAAGGAATTCCTCTTTCCTTCAACCTTGCGATGGTTTCCCACTCAGTAGACTAACCATATTTGCCTGATAAATGCCACCAAATCCTTTTCTTATCTTAGGTGAATTGGGCAGTAAGGCAGAGTGCAAACGTTTAGGGAGGCAATAGATTTAAAGCCCTGGCAACAAGAGGAGCAGAAGGAAACCCACGATGCGAAGACCCCTGATGGCTGAAGTTGCAGCAGCATCTGCTCGAGCCATAACTAAACAATTTCAACAGCAGGGGTTCTGATGTCATTCACTTCTGGAGTTAAATATATCTGATATGCAACACCAGAATGCTTTTCAGTTAAGTTGTGGATTGTTCTATGCTTTATATCCTGCTCCCCTGCTGGCTAACCATCAGATTTGGAAATGGATCATTTTTCAACAGTTAAGCATATTTTCCATACCCTACTACAACCGGCCTTTGGTAGGAAATGAAGCTGCAAAGTGATGATTACAAGAGACATCCATCTCAGTTCAGTTAAATTATAAGGAACATTAGGACCAGGTGAGACAGAGTGGCATCCCCCACTGATTAGCCAAAGGATGTTTGGGACATTAACCTTTATAAATTATGGTGACCTTTCTTAGAGGGAGAATAACCAGATTAAGGGGAAAAGGGATATGCAGGCAGGAGGAACTGAAATTTCTGGTACATGTTGTTGTTTAACTGATGTGTCTCTTTGCAGATGAATTTCTAGTATTGAAAAATGGTATCTTGAGTATATTTACAAAGGGAAAGTATTCGACAAGTGGCTGTAAAGGATCCTCTCTTTTTCTTCCCCCTTCTGCTAAGCCTCAGAAGAAGAAGGAGGAAAACCTTTCCAGTGTCCAATCTGTGGTTTGGTTATCAAGAGGAAGAGTTACTGGAAACGGCACATGGTGATTCATACAGGTTTGAAAAGTCATCAGTGTCCACTCTGTCCATTTCGCTGTGCACGCAAGGACAATCTCAAGTCACACATGAAGGTAAGGCAAGTGTTTACTGACAATCGAAACACTTGAATCCTCAATCAAAAAACGATAGTATAACAAACCTATTTCATTTGCATTTGCAAGAACAAAATTTCCCTAGTTGTACTACTAATCATGCCTTTATTTAAATAAAGAGACCATAAAAAGGGAAAGAAATAACTTGTTTTTCCTTTGCTTGCATTTCCATTTTACGCAATATGGAAACTGCCTTGGGTTACATCAACTTGGTGCAGCACAATCTGTCTGTGACTGATTTAGTTCTGGACCTGGAACCACCAGAAGCAGGGATGTTAGCTGAGATGTGACACCATGCAAACAGAGCAGTGCTGCTTTTCAGGATGCCAGCTAGTATCTCTGCATGCCATTGCGTGACACTAAGTGAGCATACCAACCTGGCCAGCACTAGCAGGGGATCTCTCCATTACTTTCTACAGACTGGCTTGCAGTTTTAACTTTTTCTTGCTGTAGCTTTTAACTGCAGGCACTTCAGCAGTGAAGCATCCAAACAAAAATGAAGGACATATTGTACTATATTGTTTTGTTTTGTTTTCAAGTGTTTCCATTACGTTTAAAGCGTGCTTTTAACTCAGCCTAAGTTTTAGGCTCGAACTGAAGACGACCTTTTGAAGGAAGCAACATCTGTGTTGATACAGAAAAATATAAAAATGTAAAGAAACTCTCTGTCTGCTTAGCTGAAGTACTGCATGGTTGCAACATACAACGTGCCTGGTCTTGCAAGCTGTAGAACATGCTTGGTGAAGTAAAAATGGATGAAGAAGCTAAAGTGCAAAAAGTTTCCCTTGTTAATGCAGTTGAGTTTTATAATAACAGTGAAATGTTTTAATATAGTTAGTATTTTGTCTTTTTTAGACAAATCTGTGTAACAGAGTACCAGACTGGTGCGGAGGGGGACAGAAATGCCTGTTCAGCTTTTATATATGCTATTGCAGAATCTGAGATCATTAGACAGGAGTCTAACCTTGCTTACACCCAAGTAACTATTCACTTCAGTGTAAATGATTCATATGATTCCACTGATCACAACAGCAGATCTTGCTGTGTTTCAGGTCTTTGCTAGGTCTGAAATCATCCCCCTAAAGTCTGAAGGCTCATCCCTTAATGCTCCTACTGTGGATCAATGCACTATTCCCAGGCATCTTTGGTGTATCATGCTAATCCTTATCAGGTACAAGTAGGTTTGGTGTTTGTGGCTCTTTCTTTTAGGACTTGGTGTTCCATGTTAACTAGAGGGCACAGATGGCTGTCCCAAGTAGAAGATGAGTAGAAGGAATGGGAACACAGCACGATAAGAAGGGTTTTTTGGTTTTGGTTGTTGATAGCCTGCACAGAAGCGTGTATCACCTAAAAGCTTGCTATTCCCTGGCAAAGACCTGTTGTTGCCCCTTGCTTTGTAAAGGGCATCCCTATTATTCCCTGAAGAAATTTTTTTTCTCTGCTTTTTTTGCCTTTTTGGAATTATTATTTGCAGGTTGAGGGCCTATCCCTTCCTTTTTGGCTTGGTGATTTCCATAAGTGGTCACAAGTAAGATGTTGGAGAAAATTATGGACTTCTTTACTGTCTCTGTGTGCTATCAAATTGATGGCTATCTGAAGCTCTTGCATGCTATTCTGCTCCCCACCTAACATAAACCTCTTTGTTAGCTGTGCCCATGTCATCTTAAAACAGACCCCTTGTGCAAACATGTAGTGTTAATTATTTGGTAATATAGTAATTATTACCAAGTAATGCTCAGTTAGACATCATTGAGGTCAGAGTCAGGCCCGGAGCTGCTTGACACAATGTAGGAGATTACAGCCTCCGTTAGCCTTACTATGGAAATAAGAGCCGAAGTCTCCTCAGTCAGTGCAGTCCAGTCATGCAGCTCATGATGGCCTTGCTGGTAAAACTGCTCCCTGTTTAAGATGAAGGCAATTGTCTTACAAAACTAGATGGCCTGTATTTGGTCTTTTGTCCTTGTTATACTCTTATGGATGTAAAGAATCACAAGCACGAGAATCTGAAAGATAATGTTTTACCTTAGTTTCAGTGGGTTTCATAGACTTTTCTCAATTGAGTGGGCCATTTGTAAAAGTATTTTCTATCACATCAAAATTGAAGCAGGTGAATGAGGTAGGGGCATGTTAGTCATGCGTCCAACAGTGTCAGACATAATTTGAATTGTTTGGTGGAAATATAAATTGATAACAAGATTAAAAATAAAAAATATCAGATTTCTTTTGTCATTATAAAAAATGCTGCTTTTAAATCTGTATGTAAATAAGTATGAGATTATAATAACTGACACATCTGTAAGCTAACAGTGTTCAAAATGGAATGAATACACATCAGAAATAGTATAGCACAGCTGGGAGCTACTTAGGATGCAGTGTTCTGGTTATGCCTGTCGGATGTTTCAGTTCTCTTTGTTGTCCTAGGATCCTTTGGGAGCTACCTGGCCTTATCTCCTTCCTGGCAGGCAACCTACAAAGGTAGAGCTGCCTCTAGCTCTCCACCCCTTTCTCCCTCCCCACGAGTCAACTGCGGCTACAGGTGAAGACACATTTTTCAAATCCAAAAAGGCTACTCAAAATTAGGGTATTAGGCTGCTGTTTGTCATTCATTGTAAGCCAATTTTTATTCTAGGATGCTATCACAAGCCAAGCTTTTTTCCTTTATGCTGCTCTTTGTTTTTCAGGTTTTATGTTTATTGATAAGGATGATGGGCAAAACCTGTTGAGATCTTTTGTCCGGCTGCAGTCCTCAAAATCCAATAGTGTTGTCTTTGTTTCCTCCTAGGCAGCGTAGCCATGAGCTGAAGCACCTCATCTTTTTACTAGGTTCCTGTAGGCATTTTCCATTGAAACTGGTTATTTAGAGATTTAATTTCCAGGAGTGGTTTGTGTGTGTCCATATGGGCCTTCCTTATTGTGTATATCTTTAGGTTCATGAATAATAACTTTATAATATAAATACTGTGTAATTTTGTGGTAATTATAACATGTCAAACTGATTGACCCAGAATACCACATTGCCAGCATTTTTGGTGTCTTGTCCCCTGATAGAGAAAATCTTAATACAGAGTTGGACTGATTCCAGCCCTGACCCATATTCAGATCTATATGTGCTACTCACCATGTTGATGAAGCGTTCTTCCAGTAAGGGTACTTTGCCAGGACCAACTCCCAGCTGGAGGCGAGGAAGTGAAAGGCAAGAAGGGAAGCAGAAAGAAAGTTTCCACACAGACACACAATGAACAAGGGAGGCTGAGTGGACTGTCTTTTAAGGCACACAGTGTTACCTATAATTGTTATATTGCATTTAGATACCACAGTGGTAGGCACCTTAGAAAAATCCTAAAATAGACAACAGTAAGGAATTTTATTAGTCTGGTTTGGAGACAAATTATAGTACGTGCATAACCACAAGTTTTGTTCCTTATTCCCAGGAATCTGGAGGTAGCATCTCGGGACTTGATTCTGGTATTATAGTATGGTTTCCAGGGTTGCTGAGAATACTGAAAACGGAGCTGGGCAAAATGAATGGGTAACTGAGAGAGGTGTCTTGTCCAAGCAGGCAGCAAGGATTGTGCTTGAGTCTTCTCTGTTTATCTAAACATAGATTCAGTTGGAATATGTTGTTTTCTTCTCTTGAGAGAGACAGAATCTTATGTACTACTTCTGCAGAAAGCAATGGAAGGGGGTAGTGTAATTCAGCAAGATGTGTTCAGGCTTTTCTGTTTTTCCTGGTAGGGAAGTAGGGATTAAATTTACCTCAGAGTAATACCAAAAGCATCAGTCACACTTTGGCCAATTGGTGTCTTTGCATCATGCACTTATCTTCCTCAGCAATTGGTGGACAGATAGGCTGTGAGATCATACAGATATGTTCCAAGAAAGCAACAGGATATTAGCCTGAGCACTTGGAAGGGGGAATGAGGAAGAGGAGCATATGGCCAAAAATAATATCTATAAATGTTCCTTGTGCTGCTATATAGACTTAAGGCAGAAATGGGTGAGCCAGCTCTTCTAGCAGTGGAAAAGAAGTTTGGCATTTTGAACATGTGCTGAAGCGTGATGGTATGACAGAAAATGAGGAAAGGGAAGATTAAGCTTAACAGAAAAGCTAGATGCAATGGCAAGCAGGTCGCGTGATGCTCAACTACGGGGTCTTCCTGCTTCTGTTGCTTATGAAAGGGACCATGTAGTGAGATCTCAGATTAATGTTCGTGTGTAATATGAAGAGGGTTATAATCAATCTCCTGATTAGGGAGAGGCTATTAATTACATGGTAGTGGGAATAAGGAAAGGCCCTGAAGAATGTAGCCAGGTGCTCACTACCCCTTAATGATTTGCTTTTCCCTCTTTCTTCCTCAGCTAGGGTCAGACAACTGAATATGCATTCCTAATCCATTTTGGTGAAGTATAGGACAGGTTATTTTAAAGCATCTTCACCATATTGGGAGAAGGAGGTTGACTGTGTTTTATGGGAGGGATTTTTGCTTAGTTTGGTTTAAGCTAACTTTAAAGAGCCCTGGGGGCGCCTGTGATTCCATTACTTTCCCTCAGCCAAGGGGAGGTAATGCAAACTTGCACAGCTTTTCAACAAGTGAAATCTGTGTCCTGAGTCTCAGACAGGTACCACAAGTGACTTCAAATATCTGCCTTTTAATCTTGTCACTTTTCGCATGTGAGATAAGGATAAGATGGGATATGCATTGACACCTTAAATCTTAAAAAAAGAAAAAAAAATTATTTTTTTTTAACACCTAGTCCAGTCCAGCCCTGCAGAGAGGCTTTTTTTTTTTTCCTTTGCTTTCAAGCAAAGCAAGGAAATAGTTTCAAAAAGAAAATGCTATATAAATAATGTATGTGTCCTGAGGGGAAGGATCATATCAAAACTAGCACCATAGCACTAAACTTTTGAAAGTGCAATATTTTTAAAAAAATGAGGGAACTTGCCAGAAAAAAGCATGAAATGAAAAAGCAGAGAGCAC